TCACCTCTAATTTTGTAAAGCTTCTCGTTTTTAAATATATATTTTTTATTATGTAACTTTACATGAATTATCATATCAAGTGAATTAAAACTAATTTTATTCAAACATCGTAACGAAGAAAATTTGTGGATGAAGAGAGTATTTATTTAAAAAAATCATACACTGATAAACATTCGTGTAAAATTAATTAAAATTTGGTACGTTAAATTCTAAAAATATTTTTTTTAAACAAATTTTCAATAACAATTCAAGATAATAACATAATTTATAGATCTTTCGATGTAGTATGATTAATATAATTGATATTACTATATTATTTTGGAAAATTATTTTAAATAATCTCATCTTTTCATCACTTTTTTTCAAAAATAATCTCATTTTTCACTGTCACCGAAAATAATCTCACCTTTCTACATGTGTGCAAGTTTTGGGCCGCCGTTAAAAAACTAACGGCCACGTAACAGGATTTTTTGAAAATACCTATTTTTGGAAAATAAATGAAAGGTGGATTATTTTAGATAAATTTATTTTTTAAATTTTTTGACATGCAAAGTTTTTTCAGGATAAGAACCAAATTCAGATATTAAGGATTAAGGATATAGAATTATTGCTCGTATTTTTCTCAACTTAATGATGCACAATGAGTCAATGCATCTGCTTCCGTTAGAGTACAAAGTTTTAAGTTTTAAATTTTATTTTTAAAAAAATTTTTATATTTTAAATTTTAAATGGAGCGGAAAGAGAATTAAAAGTTTCCCTTTATTTTAACGTAAATTGTTTTCCCCCCATTAAAGGATAATATTTTATGTGGAAAATATATTTCTTCTACTAATGTGAAGAAACACAGGAAAATAGAATCTAAGTTTTCCTAGAAAATATTTTTTCCCCAACCAAACACACCATAAGGTATATAAAATTTTTGTGTAATGTTATAAAGACTATCAAAAATATCTAAAACTAATACTTTCTACTCCACTTTTACTCTAGCTTACTAAATGATAATAATGGTGAAATTATTAAGAGCATCGAATCAACCACTTCGTTTCAATGGGTTTCCACAATGATATGCTTCCAATCTTTATTATTGATCTAGCTTAAAGATTCATTTACTTCAATTACCTCCACTTCTCTTGGTCAAAAATACTATCTACAATGTACTTTTTGTGCAACAATTAGAGCCCCTTGATAATGTCGAGCAATAAAATAGAACCTCGAGACTCTATCGGCCAACTCCGTTGAAGTATTCACATTAATCTTGAAATAAACATTATGCAACCGCCATTGATGGGTAAAAAATATGATTCTTCCCACATTAGTTTGGATTATAGAATAAAATCGTTTCAAAAAAATATTATTTTTCTTTCCATTAATTAATAAAAAATAGTGATTTTGTGATTATTCTCTTTGCATTAATTATAAATCAAAAAATATGATTCTTCTATTCTGCATCGCAACATCAATTTTAATTAGCGAAATAAATATTATTTATCTCTCCCGCATTATTATAATTTTCTTCTCTCACACCGATTAAAAAATATCAGAATAGTTCTTCTCTCCCCGCATATGTCCAAAAATAAAATGTTAGATTAACAATCATATGATTCAAAAAATAAAAATAAAAATAAGTAAAAATTCAATATAATGATTGTATTGCTAATTAAACAAATTAATATAAAAAAACATTAGTGGTCCTATGATTTTGAATAAAAATTTACAAAAATATTTGATAGTTTTTGTGTTTTTTCTTTCTATTTGAATACAAAATTACTCGTTTTTTAATTTATTTGATTTAAATATTTGATCATTTTAAAAACAATATAGTCATTTATAGTATTTTAATGTAGAGATTAAGATATATGTTTTATATTTTATTTTATATCAATATTTAATATTTAAATAAATAAATCAAAACTAAGTTCATTTAAGCATGTCATAAAAATATGATTTTTTAGATGTTATGAAAGTAATTGTTTTTGAGGAAGGAAATCTCATTTATTAATTGATAGTTTTATTATAAATGTTGTGATAAAATATAAAATTAGAAAAATGTATTCTAATGAAAACGATGATCTCTTTTCCAAAATTAAATTTAATAAATAATGTTAAAATCATAAAGAATGTTAGTGTAAACATAGTATATCTTGGCAATAGTTTTTATATCAATTGTTAACTATAATTTAACTAAAAATATCATATAATAATAGATAACTATAAATGTTATATTCTTCAATTTAAATCATAAATAATATACGGAACATAAACCATAAATTGTATAGCAATAAAATAAAATCATAAAATCATTATATTCGAAGTATGAAAATACGTATTGAAATGTTGACACATGTAATTCTTTCAAAGATTGAAGTAAAAAATTTATATATAAAAGATAAAGTATTATAACCTGCTAAATCAATAAACCAGTGTGAAGTCAATGAGTAAATGTATTCTTATTCTATTTCTTTATATCCTTTTATAAATTGTAAATTATTAGAACCCACTTGTGTAAAAATGGTAATTCATACTGTTATAATTTAGTTTGATTAGTTTAAATTTTTAAAATGATAATTTATAATATTTTTAATATAATTAATGATAATAAACACGATCTTGTAGTGTTAGTATTTTTAAATAATTTAAACCCTTAAAAATTTATTCAAAAGTATACGTCTATACGATTCGTTTGAAGTAAGGTTTTTTTTCATTTTTTGCATAAGATTGACCCGGTTATATTCTCCTTTTTCTAAAAGAACTACTTAGAGTAACTCTTTTTTACTTGTCTAAAAAAATTTACACTTTATCTATTTTCTACTCTATTTTCTTTTTGAAAAATATTTTCTAGTCTATGATTGACTCATTATTTATCCATTTTCTGTTTATAAATGAACGATTGACTCATTATTTGTTTATTTTCAATTATTTCATTGACATCGTACAAATGGAGAAATAGAAAATTAGAAATTACTCGGAATGGAAAATTTATTGACTCTATGACATTCTTGTAGCTTTTTCAAAATTCAAATTTTTTTTGGACTTACTCCGGAGTATATTTTAAAATATACGGACTAAAATAAAGCAAAAAAAGTATATGGAGTATGTAATACCTTGCAACTTAAATTGATAATTACCTATTTTGATCCAAAATACCTTGTAATAGCTTTGGACTTAGGGAGATGGCATGGCGGAATTTTTCCCTTTTAAAAAAACTTCGATTTAAGAAGGAAAAGAGATTTAATTTTTCCTAAATACTATAAAAACATACTAATCAAAGATGAAGTAAATTTGGAAGAAATTTTCTAAATTTAGCTCACCTTATTATGCCACATAGCATGTCAATTTTATGGCCACATGTCAAATTCTTGTATTTTCAAATGTAAGCTTCTTAGAGTCCAAACTCTTAAATTTTATATTAAATGATATTCCATAATTGGTCATTTGTATTAGGGGATCTCCCTATTTAATCATATTATTATTATCATAGTAATTTTTTTTGTATTCTTCGTCTAACCAATATTAGAATACGTCGTTGAATAAAAGGTTGATGTTAAAATATATTTTTAGCTTTTAAACTAATATCAACATGGAAGAAGATTAGAAAGGACTATTTGTGGAAAGACATCTATAAAAGAAAGGACTACGGGAGTAAAATTTGACAATTAAAACTAAATATGAAAACCCCCTATTATAAAAAACTAATTATAAAATTTACTCTAAAATTATCTCTAACACATTGCACTAAACTCAAACCTAAAATACAGTAGATATACAATATATAGTAATTCATCTCCAAGAATTTACATCAAACTTAAACTAAAAAAATATTTTATTCTTTTTTTCCCACTAATCTTTTTACCTTGCAAATTAAACAATCATAGTAGAATACTTCTTTGGTGCACCTTGGATGTATATCATTTTTGTGAGCCTTCTCACATAAAAAATCCCTTTTTTTAATTTTTTTATTAAAAAACAGATATTTATCTAAGTACTAAGAAAATGTTTATTTTACTCATATGTAAATCTATTCTGGACCTTAGATCTACCATAAAACTTGTCATCATACTAATAGAGCTACGTTTTTATTTAAACTAATAATAATATTAGTGGTAGCAATTTTTTTTTAAAAAACTAGAGCAGTCTACTACAAAACAAAAGCTCGAGGTAAGACCAAATGGTGTGGTGTGATGGATCACACCAATCACGCCATCTCACCCATGCAACTCAGCACCACATCAGTTTTTTTTTCTTATCACACTAGCATCATACCATTGGGGTGTGGCTCACACCCATCACACGTAAATTTTTAAGATTTTTTAAAATCATAATGATGACGGTGTTTTCTTTCCATCACGTGCTGAAGTGGTGGCAAACTCAGCTATCACGACACCTTATCACAATCCACATTGTATGGTCTAAAAAAATTGTGTAGTTTATGGTTAGCGGTAGTCGAAGAAGTTTAACTTGAGTTCAGCTCATCGAGGTCAAAAGCTCGTCCTTGAGCCCTTATTGAAGTTTATTCCATCAGTGCTCACACTAAGAGTTTGTTTTTTTAAAATTAAAAAAAAAGTTGGATATTGAAAGAAACCGGAAAAAAAAAGTTGGAGTAACATATTCAACACTTCCAAATTTCAAAAGGACATGGAGGCAGCATGAATAGCTCAATTGATTCAAAGAGATAATATGAAACTCATCGAACCTATTATTGAACTCTGACAGCGACAGTGTGAGAACTTTATTATTTATAATAGCTCTTTGTACACATCATGCACGAGACGATCTCTTTAAGTACTAAATTGAGATTATATCATGATTTATTCTACAATCCCGTATTCCGGTGGGTGTGGACGCTTTATTTTTTTCCAAAAGGACATGGAAAATTCAAGGGCTAAGATTGATCCACTCAAAATGAACCAACCCCACCCGCCCCACAAATCGGGGGCATCGGAAGACTTCTCCGCTCCCATCGTTTTAAAAAAGTTCAAAACCATCGCTCGCTCCTCGCTGGCCCCCCCATATTCCCAAATTCCTTTTTTTCCCCCATTTTTTGTTTCTCCCTTTCCCATTGCATTTTCCTCGCTGCAATCTCAGATCTCTCCCCCCTGAAGGATGGCGCGTGAGGAGAACGTCTACATGGCCAAGCTGGCGGAGCAGGCCGAGAGGTACGAAGAGATGGTGGAGTTCATGGAGAAGGTCTCCTCCTCCCTCGGCGACCCCGACGAGCTCACGGTGGAGGAGCGGAATCTCCTCTCCGTCGCTTACAAAAACGTCATAGGTGCACGCCGCGCCTCCTGGAGAATCATCTCCTCCATCGAGCAGAAGGAGGAGTCCCGTGGGAACGAAGACCACGTCAACGCCATCCGCGATTACAGATCTAAGATCGAGACCGAGCTCTCCAAAATCTGCGATGGAATCCTTAAGCTTCTCGAATCCAAACTCATTCCCTCCGCCTCCGCCGGCGATTCCAAGGTCTTCTACCTCAAGATGAAGGGCGACTACCACCGCTACCTTGCCGAGTTCAAGACCGGAGCCGAGCGTAAGGAGGCTGCAGAGAGCACTCTCACTGCCTACAAATCCGCGCAGGTATATTGTTTTGCAGTGTGATTAATCGTTCCTCATTTAAGATTTACCTGCAATGGTTTAACATTATGGGTGATTAGTGCTGACAATTTAACCTCCCCCTATTTGTTTGCTATATTTTGATTTAAGATGTAAAAAATCATTTTATTTAAATATTGGTATAGAAATATAAAAAATTACATATTTAAAAGTGTAAAGATAAAATAAAAAGTGTAACTACATTCACAGGTTTACTATTTTATTCTATCAAATAGCTACTAAAAACCTACAAATAATACTCTCAGAGCACTATTCCAACTTCACGGGAATTTATATTTATTTGTGTTTTTTCATGGCCTATATGATAAAATAAAATATTCTTGTCGCCACTTGTTTTGTTGAACTTTCGGTGTAGTTTTTAAATATGTATGTTTTATTTTTTATTTCTATACTAATATTTAAATAAAATAGATTGAAAAAACTTGATATTTTTCATCGTTTTGCGAAGTGAGAAGATGCTAGTAAAGTTCTCGACTCTTGAAGAAATAAATGTGACATTGTTTTAGGGATGGAGTATTTCTCTTTCATAGCCAGAGCTATCCCCCTATTTTGTAGAGTAGGATGATTGGTGCGTGTAAAGTAAACCTGTGTATGGGTAGCTCCTGCCAACCCCACCCCTAGGGAGATGCCCTATGTAGAATGTTCTAATAGCATCTTGACTTTTGAGATTGTTGATTAAAAAAAGAGTAATGCTAGGGGTACAGGAAAAGGTGTACCCCAAATGTACACCACCCTCTTTTCCTCCACACATTTTTATTTGATTTTTATTTACTTATTTTTTTTTGATTTTTTTGCCTTTTTTAGTGGACAAGGAAGGGGTGGGGGATATTTGGGAAAGGTGTACCCCTAGCATTTTTCTAAAAAAAATCTAAAATGCACTCAATGCGATGTCTCAATAAGCTTAAAAAATCTGGATGTGATTTGTGCGTGAGATGGATGGATTCGGGTTCTTCAAGAAATCTCAGATTTTTGAAGCATTTTGTCTCAATTAGCATCCTTGATATTCCCTCTCCCCAGATTAAAGTGTGGTCGATTTATCATATTTGACCGATTTTCAAGTATTTGTCTCAATTAGCTTGTTTGATATTTCATGTGTTCCAAATTAAACTGTCTCTTTCGATTTACCATATTTCATTGATTTTTCAAGCATTTTGTCTCAATTAGCTGTTAGCATGCTTGATATGTTTCGTCCGTCCCAAATTAAATTTTATGTTTCGGTTTAACATATTTGAATGAAATTATTTTTAATTTAATTTATTTGATAATTGGGGTGTAATTAAAAAATAAAATTTACATATTAAAAAATTATATAAAAAGTTAAAAACTCTACAAAATAAGAGGTGGTATTATTATACTCCCTCCGTCCTAAAACTTTCTTCTCAGTTTGACTTTTTTCCATTTTTAATTTTTGGCTTTGACTTCAAATTTTACCCTCCTTAAAAAAGATTTTTTGAAATTTTTTTGCAATCATTCAAAATATAGAGTTAGAAGATAATTGGTGTAAATACATGAGAGTATTAATATCATTTGTCATCTTTTTTTCTAATGGGAAAGTAGTTTTAGGACAGAGAAAAAGGGAAGTAGGAAGAAAATTTTAAGACGGAGGGAGTATTATTTTATCAAATATGTAGTGAAAATAAGTAAAAATAAATCAAATAAAATTTGACCATGTAAATAATAGTAAATAAATAGGGAATAGTTTAATTTGGGGCGGATGGAGTATAAGTATAAGCTGTATAACAAATCACAGGTAGTTTATGCTTTCCTTACGCTACTTCCATAAACTTCACATTTTCTACTACTTCTGTTATTGCACCCAGTAATAAAATTAATTGTTTTTAATTGTTCTGGTCAAATACTCCCTACCATATACCAGTTCATTGCATGTGATATTTTGATGAGCTCGTAGGAATTAATTTACCTAGTCATACTTTATTTTGATTGTTTACTTGCAGGACATTGCAAACGCCGAACTTGCACCCACACACCCCATCCGTCTCGGGCTGGCTCTAAACTTCTCTGTGTTCTATTATGAGATTCTGAACTCTCCTGATCGCGCTTGTAACCTCGCAAAACAGGTAGGGAATCGATCTCCAGCTTTACTTGGAATCCCACATTCACATTTCGTCTTATGACAAAGTCTTATCGTTCATCTTTTTTCCATCCAATCTAGGCATTCGATGAAGCAATCGCCGAGTTGGACACTTTGGGAGAGGAGTCATATAAGGACAGCACTTTGATCATGCAACTCCTTCGTGACAATCTGACTCTTTGGACTTCTGATATGCAGGTAATCCATTGCACTATTATTATGCTAATCGCCAATATAAATAACATTCGTTACTTTCGGGGCCTAATAAATTTCCTGTTCCTAATGTAGGAAGAGGGAGCGGATGAGATCAAAGAGGCTCCCAAGAAAGATGAAGAGCAGCAACATTGAGGGCGGTTTCCTTCTCATTTGCCTTTTTCCAACGTGGCTTTCCGCTTTATGGCATTCTCCAGTCAGTCGTCAAGAATGAACTGCTTAATTTATGTCTAATACTTTGTTGCTTGGTCTTTAACTGGATGTGATTCTGAAAGATCAATTCATTCCCAGCTGCTTCTTTGAACTATTTTGTTGAATTGGTTGCTCTTCTTTTGTGATGTTATGCGATGTTCACCGGTGGTCAACCTTTATTGTATTTGAAAGAGCTTTGTGTTGAGTTGGACGCTGATTTGAACATGTTGATAAGATAATCATTTTGAAAATGTGAGATCAACCTCTAATGATCAAAGTAACACAGAACACAATTTTTTGAGCCACATTTTTCCAGTTAACCATACTCTCAACATAAATAAACAGACCATCTATCATATAATTTCTCTACTTCGCGACACACGTACACCGAATGATCTCCACTACAATTTGAGTTTGGTGATATCGATCTTTTGCACAGGATATGTATACGCCTCATAATTGATGTGTTGCCCCAAGGTGCTTATTTTTGTAAGAGCAGTGATCAAGTCAACCTGAAAACCCCAACATTTTTCCGGAGCTTAATAAACACATTAATGATCTTTTTTCTCTCTCGCTGATGAGCCATTTGTGTTATAAGTTAATAAAATTGTGAAACAAACTTTGCTTGCCTCATAATCAGTTTGGGAAACTGTTTCTCGGCTCCTTTGGTACTTGAGAACCCAGGGGAGGACGTCTGGGTCAGAAACCATTTTGGCCTCGGTTGCTTGCTGATCGGGACCCAGGAATGCTGACATTACTGCGAGCTGCCCATCACACACGAAACTATTCTCTTATACTAATTGGTTTCAAATTGGAGAATACAATGGAAAACAATATTGGGTGGAACCAAAATCAAATCTTTACTTATATTTATATCTATTACTCACATTAGTCTTTATATGAAAGAACAGACTCCATCCATCCCAAACTAAAGCCCTTACTTTCCTTTTTTATCCCAAAATAAAGTTTCCATTCAAATAAGTCACATTGTTTCTCGCTTTTGCAAGAATCTCAACTGCATAATTTGACCTTTTCTTAAACTCTACAAAAAGTAAACGGGAACTCTATGTTGGGATGGAGCAAGTGTAAATGTAATGAGTTTGTAACGAAGTATTTTGAATGATTTCCAGAGCGTACCTGGCGAGGCCCAAGGCCTATTGCTTCGAACTTGTCTTTCATTTCCTGAATACTGGCAGTTTCCCACTGAGGGACCCTTCCCTCTGGATCAGCGTCTACGGAATCAGACCTTCCAAATTGCCTATCAAAAAGGCCCCACTGTCCACATAAACAGAACGCGCTTCAGAACACAGCTAATCACCTCCGAGAAAAATAAAACTCATTGAGTCGATGGAAAACCATATTTTTTTAGCTTGCCTTAAAGGTTTATCATGTTTGTTGATTTTTTGGAATTCACAATTCACGAAGATACGGGAAGACATGAATATTTCTTATAAGTACTAACCTGTCCGTTTGAGCCATACACTCTGTATAAAAGAGCCCCTTTCTCAGCATTCCCACCACATTTGCGAATCGCAGCATCAAGACATGTTTTTTTAACTGCACTTTGTGCTGCAACAATAACAGGAGATATGAAAAATAAATAAAAGATACATTGTTCAGTACACCGAAATTGTCCTAAGAGCATATGAAGCTGAAATGGCCTGACTGTAAGCAATAATTAAGTGAATTAAGTTAGTTACGCATGCCTCACCTCCGTATTGGATTAGATCAGCATATGAGATTGGCCCACCCTTGGACTTTACATCTATGTCCTTCTTTGCCTCCTCCAACAAATTCATAGCTGCTGCAAGTCCCTTATTCTCTGGCCTGCTTATCTCTGACCTTCAGGTATGAAGAATTAAACATGAAGACAGTTTTAGAACACAGTTTAGCAACAACAAATAAAGATCTTCGTCAAGAGAATGGCTATATACCCTAATACTTCAAACAGTACTTTCAGATAATGTTACACATATAAAAAGGTATTGATTCCTTATATTTCAATGAACGTTGTTTAAATAAGTTTAAAGGCCCATTTGGTAAATACTGTTTGGTTGAAAGCTCAATCAGCTGAGAGTGTTTAGGAAAACTGCTCTTGGCCAAAAGTAGCTCAACGCTGTGTATTCTGCTTACACTGACGATTACGATGCTTATTACAAGCAAAATAAGCCGACTAATGCTACCAAATGGAGCCTACCAAACTAATGCTTAAATGCATTCTTACTACGACCGATATTGGACGACAAAATGAAAAATTTTACACCATGCATTTCATTGCTTATTGCAGATTATGCACATTGACTGAACAATTTTTTTTTTAAAGAAAGCTAATGCACACGGCTAGAAGCCTAGAACAGCTCCCCCCCCTCCCAATATGGAATTTCCTCTAATCTAGATTATCAGGAAAAGTACCTTAAGCGAATGGATCCATTGGGACCCCCAGATTTTGTATCCTGCAAATTTGCTTTGTATCAGATCACCTTCTAAAAGTTTATGAGATGTCTATTAAGTACAAAATATGAACTGATAATCTCTTACACTGTCATAAGTCATTGCATCATTCAGAGCCAGAGTCAGCAAGGACGGGATGAGATCCTGGTTTTCCTGAAACATTTACAGAACAGAAATCATGGAATATCAATGTCAACTTGGGTAACGCTCAGCTCAACTCAGTAGCAATTCGAATATGAAAACAAACCTTTATAGCAGTTGCAAGAATGTCCTTGACAGTTGCTGTTGAACATAAACTAAAGGGTGAAAATGAGAATGCATCAATTACATTATTATGGGTCTGTTCTTTTGAACTGAAATGGAATGAATTCAACTGAAAGTTGAGTAATTTATGGGGTGAAATGAAATGAAAGAAAGTTGAAAAGAACAAACCCTAAACTGGAAAAGGAAGAAGGAGAGCTTACATTGAAACTCTGATCGTTGTCTGCGTTGTATCAAATCAGCAGCACTAGCCACTTGAATCAATGAACTTGATCTTCCTAGGAGGTCCTACAAAAGGCCCACAAGAAGTAGAACTGACAGTAAATCATTATCACTAACCTCAATTTCATAGAACAAAACAGAACTATTCAAAACAAATTGAGGGCTTATAAAGGGTAATTGGGGTCACCAAGCTTATGGTAGCACCAATGCAGTGAAAAAGATGGCGCCGTCTGGGGAGAGAATCTCTACTACCCGTCTCAACCTTACAGCAAATTGTGCCCTGAAAGATTGAATCTTGATTCCATTGTCACCTTTGGGATTATTGTGAATTGCAATGTTGTATACCAAAGCGAAGAACAGAAGAAAAACTCTCAAGTTCCACAGGTATTTTTTCATTTTCAGATCTTCTGGCGATAGGGAAATTGCAACTTACAGTTTGAATGAAACGTCTGGAGATGGTGGTAGAAGGAGAAAGAACTGAAGATGGAAGAGTGGACGCCATTCCCGTTTCACTATGGATTGAAACACCTGATGAGGTGGGATAAGATTAATGAATCAAAACATATTAAGGGCCTATTTGGTTGAGTTTTGGTTTTTGAAAATTAGCTCTTGTTTCCATTAATGTTGTTGTTTTGAATAAAAGGTACTCCCACATAACATTTAATGCTGATGCTAAAAGAAATTTTAGATAATTCGCATTCCATGACATTAGTTCTAAATCTTCTAATAGGCCACGCTTACACGCCTCTTCTCAGTATTATAGAGATGGATAAGATTTGGAATCCACCTTATAAACATTTTTCTTTTTTTTTATAATAACTGTTGTTATCATAATGCAGAGTACAATAAAAGCACCTATGATCTTCCCTCGCAAAACTAATGGTCCCTACTTAACCTAACTTCATTTTACTCTTGTCCCTCCCTGCTACGAAGTATTTAGCTATTGTTTCACTACAGTCAATCGGAATTTTCACTAAGGAGACAGAAAAGTTTAGGAGTAGAAATTATCAATTTTTTACAACAATTTTACATTATGACAAGTGTTTCACTATAGTGGCGCTGGACATTTACTTGAATCAGACAAGTGAACATTGAATAATGATATTATATTGAAAAATAAAAACATATGCTATTATATTGGAAAAGTCATTATATTTTACTACAATTTAGTTAAATTCCCAAATAATAAATGGGCCGAAATATTGGGTTGACATCATTACTTACGATTTAACTTGCTATATATTCTAGATTCAATCTAAAGTAATCAGTTCAATTTGACTAATTTATACAATTAAGCACATTTTATGACATAGATACTTCCTCTGTACCAAAAATATTGTCTAAGTTACCCTTTTAATCCCTCGATAAGTTTTGTTTATTTATATTCTTTCATTGATATTTTAATATGAGTTCCATATTAAAATAAAATATTTTTATCACATCCTACTTAATATTCCATAGAATTTTTAATGTAATTTTTAAATAAATAATTTATACTTTTAATTTCAATAAAATACTCCTTCCGTCCCACAATGTTTTACATCTTTTACTATTCAAAAATAACAAGAATTTTTTTATTTGTTTGTTATAATTGATTATTTGATAAAATATAATATTCTTGTGACCTCTTATTTTGTATAACTTTTGATGTACTTTCTAAATATGCAAATTTTATTTTTAATTCTAAACCAATGTTTAAATAAAATAAATTGAAAAAATTTAAAATTTTGTTTCAGTTTACGTAAAGTATAATTCATTTAAGAAAAGAGGGAGTAAAATATTTTTAAAATGAGCAATGCTAGGGGTACACTAATATTGGGTGCCCCATTTGTACACCAAGCTAACGCAGATACACACAGACACAAAATGTCTGTGCAGCACAGACATTTTATATCTGTGTTGGCTTAGTGTATAAATGGGGTACCTCATCCTCCTATATACAATGGTAGGTGGATTTTTCGTGAACAGTGTTCCCGCCTAAACTTGGTGGACCTTGCTGCGATATTGGGCCTGAATTGGTTGATGGAATGGGCCTGCATTGATTCACGTAATTGGCCTGCATTTGGTGTCTATTCGAATCTTCTTTTTTGGCTTTATGTCCACTCATTGCCATATTCAATAAAGTTACATTGATAACTCAAATTTGGTAGCTCCATAAAGGTGGTTTTAAAAAAAATTACTTTGTGTCACTTCAATCTATTTTAAAGATTTTTAAAATCTAAACTAAAGCATTGTGGAAAGGTATCATGGAGCATGATTATAAATATGACCGAATTAAGAGGTAAACTTCATTCATTCCCAATTCACTTATCTAACATCCCAAAAAAGCATCAAATGTCTCAAACAGATTCTTTGAGCATGTGGTCTCCTGTTGGTGAGCTTGGCAATACCCGGCCGACTTTGATGTTCAAGTTACGGGCCGTGCGTGTGTATTTTGTTCCCGTTTGGAACAAAGGCGGAGATTCAATGGAAGTAGTTTTTCACGATGAACATGTATGACAATCCAAATTTTTTTGTACTTATTCGTAATTTATATATTAACTATTTCTAATCTAAACTCTCTTTGTTTGTATAGGGCGCAAGGATTCACGCACATCTCAAAAAACCGGAAAAAAAACGGTTTGAGAAACAAATTGTGGAGAACGGTGTTTATGGGATTCGGGATGTTTTTGTTCATGACAATTTCCAATCCGTCAAAACTACCGCAAATGAGAAACTTTTGGGTTTTTACACAAAAACACAAGTCAAAACATTGGATGGAAGCGATTTTCCACGTTTCATGTTTGATTTGAAATCTTTTGCGACGATTCAAAACCAACCGATTTTGAACGATCAAGTCTTGATTGGTACTATATTATTTTTAAAAAAAAATATCAAAGTATCATAATATGCAAACATTGTTGAAAGATCATTCATACACACAAACTCATCGAGAAAATTAATGCAGATGTGATTGGGAAAATTGTTGGCCGGTCAAAAGTTCAAACACACATAAGAATGGGCGAAGAACAAAAGTTGATGGAAATAACACTAGAAGATCATGAGTATGAAAAAAAATTTGATATGAAATGTTCATATAACATTATACATTCACTTTTGCTTAAGTGTGTGAAAATTTCAGGGGTAATCGTTTGGGATGTACCCTATGGGGAGAATATGTGGAAAGATTTTTGGGTTGTTTGACCCAAAATGTGCAGGAACCGATGATTCTACTCTTAAGTTTTTGCAAACCAAAACGCTACATGGGTAAGATACAATTCATCAAATTCGATTAAAAATACTACTCTTTTCACAAACACATTTGAAAAACAGATATGTACTTTTAAGAACACAATCTCACTAACTGGAGTAAAAAAATTCTTGATAAACGCAGAAATTCTATGCATGTCGTTTGAATTTGTCAAAATATTATAATAAAAAATTTCTTATTTTTTTTAACAAAAATATGAGTCATCTAACGACATATATGCATCTAGGATGAAGATCCAGAGAATTTAACAAAGAAGAATAAAGAAAGATATTCAGATCTAATATTTCATAATAACATTTGAAAAAAGGGAGTTTATATTCATGAAGATAATCCGATGAAAATATAACAAATTAATTTCACCGAAATTACCCCTGATTCAAATCATCTGCCGTCCTTGAACCACCACAACTTCAGATCGCCGCACGATCGATCTACCATAACATCTCTATTCTACGGAGATTAAGCCTCCGGGAAATTTAATGCGGCGTGATAAAGACATAAGGCCAAATTTGAGGTCGGCGATTTGAAGAAAACGCCGATGTAGGGATTTAGTGAGAGAAGGGATAGGGTGGCGATTTGTGTGGTCGAATGGCGAAGGCGTAGGCTAGGGTGGAGTACATATTTTAATTGGGCCGGTCCAATTTAATAGTTGGGAATTAAATTCTGGGCTGGATTGGGTTTGTGGAGTTTAATTTACAATTCCAGTTTTGTAATTGGACGGAATTTTTGGGCGGGACGTGGGAGTGAATAACGTTAGTCACAATTAATAAAAAAATGTGTGTCAACATTATTTGTTCTGCTTTTATATACCTGAGATTTACAATTTATATCTTAATAAATGAATTTTTTTCCTACACATATAGGAGAAATTGGAAGTTTAATTGAGCCATGTTACAAGTGCAAAAATAACGAAGATTCACTTGATATGGAATTGTGTTGGATTTGCAAAAATGTTTCTGGTCATCTTCGCTGCCTATGCATTGGTGATGTTGGGTGGGGTATATTTTTTAAATGTGATCTTTGTGCGCTTTTTCCACCACCACCACCAACTTCACAACCTATGCCACCCATAATGTTTGCACTTCCACCACCAACTTCACAACCTATACCACCAATAATGTTTGCACTTCCACCACCAACTTCACAACTTATGCCACCCATAACGTTTGCACCGCCACCACCAATTTCAGAACATATACCACCCATAACGTTTGCACCGCCACCACCAACTTCACAACCTATGCCACCCATAACAATTGCACCACCTCAGCCACGTTTGATGACTGCAATGCCGACGATGCAAGTGACAGTTACACCGCCGGAATTGAGAAGATCTAAGCGGCTTAAGACAGCAAATACAAAATATTTTAATGATATTTATGTCACTTACTAAAAAAATATTATGTATTGGAATGGTTAGTACCATATTCAATGTTTTTGATTTTTGTACTAAACTAAATGTTAGTTATTTCTAAAATTCTACTGTACTCTTCAATTGATGTATTATGATCTAATTATTGTAATGCGTTAATGCTTATTATTAACATCAATGGATGTATTTCACCATCTATTCTGCAGTGGCTATTCTAAACCTTACTTATTTTAGGAATGCTTTTTTTTCTGTCTTTTAAATATATTCTTTAACATATATATATATATATATATATATATATATATATATATATATATATATATATATATATATATATATGTTAAAAAATTATGTATGTTCTTTTGCAAACCATATATATTAATGAATTCACTTTTACATTTAATGACGTATGTAGAAAATTCAAGAAATTCTCCGTTAATAGAAAAATCCAGATCGTTGCGAATAAACAGAGTTAATTACACTCCTTCGCCCCTCAGCAACTTAACAAACGGTAAATATATCTATTTGAATTCTACACGTTTATTTTGGTAAAAAAAATTTATGTGTTAACATAAGCGTTGATTTATTCGATTAATAATGTCAGTTTGTACACCGTTCGATCGCTTCTCTTATCCAACATCAAGCTCTGTTCATGCATCAAGTGAGGGGCGAAAACATGATAACCTTACTCCACCTCAAAGTTGTATTACACAAAGAAAGGTTTGTAATACAAGAAAACGATCATTTCAATTAGGTACGTTCACTGTTTATTTGTTAAAATTGCTTCCTTGATATTTATTTATCACATTAAGCATTACGTACTATTAATATTCTTTCGTATTTTATATTATGTCGCTATTACAATGCCCAGTGAATGAAGAGAGCCAATATTCTTTACCTCAAACTGCCCTTATGAACGACTTTATTACACAATCTTGGGCTGTAGATTCTGATTTACGTCACGACAATAATGATGTGTTTCAATCAGAAGTTCTTAGAGATTTGGATATGGACTTTATTGATTCAATTGATTCCAAACAAACCTAATGCGTTATGTCAACGAGGAAAAAGATTTTT